GCTTCCCTCTCTCTCTCTCTCTCTCTCTCTGCCTGCCTCTCTGTCTGCTTGTGGTCTCTCTCTGTCAAAAAAATAAAAAAAAATAAAAAAAAATAAATCTTTGAAAAAAGAAAATGAGACGGATGTTAGAGACCAAAATTCTGGAGTCCCTGGTAAATTAGCAGTAGTTGGGGACATGGAACTGGCAGACAACGCATAGGAAGAATGCGTAGGAAGAAATAGAAACAGTCTAGGGAAGAACATTAATGAGCACTGCAGTGTGGTAGATAGTCTGAGAGAAACAAGAAACAAAGATGGAAAAGAGGAGGAAAGAGAAGCATGAGCCCCACAGCATGCCACTTGGGTCCACTGAGGCATTAAAGAGGCATTTTGTTCAGTGTGCTCTACTGATTAAGGCAGGCTGCCATTCACGTTTGCCTACCCCAAAAATCAAACGTTGAAATCCTAACCTCCCCAGGTGATGCCATCAGAAGGCATGGCCTTTGGAGGTGATTAGGTCATGGAACTGCAGTCCTCATAAATGGGATTAGTGGCCTCATAAAAGAGACCCCAGAGACTCCTGCTCCCTTCCCTTTCTGCCACCTGAGGACACAGTGAGAAGGCCATCTATGAACCAGGGAAGTTGGCTCCCACCAGACGCTGAATCCCTTGGTATTTTGATCTCTGACTTCCCAACCTGCAGAACTATGAGAAATGAACTTCTATTACTTGTAAGCCACACAGTCTATGGTATTTCTGTTATTACAGTTCAAGTGAGCTAAGACACGGGAACATAAACATATTACATGTTTTAGAAAGAACTCCATCAAAACAGTGGGAGCAGTTTACTCGAAAAATTCAATCACAGAGAACTCAGGCTTTCTTTATCGGTGATAGAGACAATAGGTACCAACAGAACTTTCCTCCATGATGATGGAAATGGTTTTTGTCTGTGCTGCCCAATAGGGTAGCCATTAGTGACCCACGGCTATTGGACACTTGAAAATTGCCTAGTGTGACTGAGAAACTAAAGTCTTCATCCAATTTGATTTTAATTCATTTAAATTTAAATAGCCACATGTGGCCAGGCACTATCTTATTAACTACATGATTTGTAGGACTAAGAAACAAGTTTGGTTTAGAGTAAAAATTATATAGGCTTTGAGGTCACATGGACCAGTTTAAATCCTTCGGTTATTAACTCTGTGATCTTGGCTATGTCACTGACCTTCCCTGGGTCTGGGCTTCTTGTTCCTAAAATGGGGCTTCTAACATTCATGCTTAGAGCCATTGCTACAATTCAAAATGAGGCATGTAGATTGCGTAGCACAGACCAAATATTCAATAAATGATAGTGGTATTAGCTGTTAGTGGTATTAAATGAGGCAGGTCAGTATTCGCGAACATAATTCAATTGTTTTGATTTCTCTGATCATGAGCATGCACATGTAATAAACTGTGAAATATGCAATAAGAGATAACCCTGGGAGCGGTTGCCTCTGGTGGAGTAGCTTCTTCCGGGTGATAACGCGTGGACAATGTTTTCTAGTTAGCGATTCTCTTATCTCCGCCTTGCTGAGAGCTGTCCTTTTTCAGTGCGATTGCTTCTGGCAAATCCACCCTACTCCTCCCAAAGAGCATTCTTCACTGCTTTTTCTATAACCTCGGAAGAACTATAGGCTGTTCAGGAAAAAAGACAAATAGAGCTTGTTCAATCAATAACTTTAATTTTACATACAATTCTAAGTCAATGGAGTCTGATCAGATGGTCTGTCAGGTTTCTTTCTGTGGAATGAAGAGCACACCTTCAGAGACATTTACTTAACCCTGGCTCATCCTTACAATCTCTGGGGAGTACTTCTTAAAAAAATATACATCCCTATCCCTCCTCCCCCTGACTGGAGACTTGGCACTGTTATGAGTGTTCCAGGTGATTCTGTTTCAGGGTTTGAAAACTACTGATGTACACTATTTCTCTTGGGGGGACTCTGGACAGATGGGAGCCCAGGTTAAGTGAGAGATCTCTGTACCATTCCAGGGCAAGGACATGGCACAAACATTACATGGGTCCAGCACAAGGATGTGGCAAACCTCTGAACACTGGACTGAAGTTTTCCTATGGAGAATCGGAGCCAATCGTTTGAACAAGTGTCACTTAGAGCTGGGCCTGGATTCCAAACTAACTTCTCTTTACTTCTCCTCCTAATCTCCCCTGTCATGTTTCTAGAGATGGTCTACTTGTACATTTTGTGGGGCTCAAAACTGTTTCTGATATACTATCATTCAGCTCATCGGCTTTTGTGCATGAAATTTCACTAGTTGTTGACATGACCAGGTAAATACCCATCTGAAGAAAAACTAAGGAAAACTCCCCCCCCCTTTTTAAAAAGACTTATTTATCTTAGAGCTCAGAGTGTGAGTGGGGAGGGGCAGAGGCAGAGGAAGAGAGAATCCTTAAGCCGTCTCCCCACCAAGCGTGCAGATCCAAGGCCTCTGAGATCAATACCTGAGCTGAAATCAAGAGTTGGCCGCTTAACTGACTGAGCCACCCAGCTCCCCCCCTTTATCCTTTAGAAACCACTCTTGCAATCAGAGGTTCAGAGCAACATCTTCATGTCTGTCTGACCCACTCCCTTGCCACCCAAAAGTGACCTGTGATTTATGGTGAGGCAACATACCGATTAGATTAACGTATGTATGCTTGTTAGGGTACTAGCGAAATATTGTTACATACTTTGGGAGACAATTTCTGTGGAACAAAAGAATTCCAAGCATAGGCCAAGGGCCCACTTCTCCTGAGCAATATGCAACACAGAAAAATTCCAGCACGACAAACCAATTTCAACAGTCCCTGAAAGTCTGTAGCAGGCCCTAAAATTTTCAGTCCAGAAAGGAGGAAAGTATTGGGAATTATGAAGGCACGTTTTATTGGAATAATTGGCAAGACAAAAAATTTACTAGGATGTAATGGTTTAGACATATTATTGTTTTCTTTCTGGTTTTCTAACCACATCTTTTATTAATTTTTGGTTTTAAGGGGGGCAATGTGAAAATATTAAACCTACACTGGGCAACAGTAATACCTTAAATGAGAACCTTAGTCCTAAAAAAGTTAAGGCTTACTTATTTTATTATGAAGAAGCAATTTAGGTGATAGAGAAACTAGGACTCATTGATTACATCCCTGATTTTCAGAGGCTGGATCACATGGGAATCTTTTATGGCTTGATAAGTGAGTATTTTGGAAAGAAATCTAACTCCCAATAAGCTAGAAAGACAATTGATTGGTACATTTCCTTAGAAATTGGGGTTTTGATTGTTTTCAGAGGTGGCTGCCTGGAGGGGCTCGTTAATGTCATCAGTACTCTTCCCCTCTGTTATCCCATTGGCCTTCTTCTCATGTGGCCTTCTTCTCCAATAGGTTATGTGTGGCTGCTTCAGGCTTACAGGTCACAGTCTCAGAAGCTGCCATATTAGCTCAGAAAAAGGAGCCACACCCTCCAGGATTTGATCATGGGTATCTCCCCTCCTCCCTTTGTGCCTGGGGCATGAAATGCTCTCTCATTGGCAGGCTTGGGTCAAGGACCCCTTCAATGACAGAAAAGGTCTGTCATATATGCTGTGAGGGAGCAATTCTTAAAAAGAAGTTGAGACAAAGAAGTTAATTTTTTTAATAGCTTACTTTGGGGTGAGAAGAATTACTTCTGATTTGCTATGCTAATGATGAAAAATAACTTCATTCTCCCATTAACACGACTTTTGGGTTTAATGAAGACCACAACATAGTGTGTGACCATCACATGGAATGCAATTGTATGCCGAAGGAAAGTTCCATTCAAAACCCAGTATCATGTCACTTTCTTAAAATGGTTCTTTTGTAAATAGCCAAAAATTTATTGTGGAAGTCTGAGTTTTATTTATCTGATAATCTCTGAACTGGAATGAAACAAGTCACACAATTCAAATATAGATGATCTTTCTGAGGAAATGGGATGAATGCAATTTCATTTCAAATGTACAAAAAATATAAAGAAATCTCTACTAAATATTTTAGAGAAATATTTATGTTGTGAATTTGTATCTCATTCAATCGTTTTGATAAATATGGATTTCATCCACTAGAGTTCCCAATAGTAAAAACTAAAGTAGAATGTGCTTAGTATTCCTAAAACAACAAAAACCTCAAAAAACCAAGTAATTAAGAAAATCTGAAGAAAAACATTACCAACTACACATTATGACATGGATCCTGATGTACCCTGAAACATTTAGTTAATTGGGGAACATCAGCTGGCCCCATACTCTAGGGGCTGTACATCGTACTTGAGATTTTTTTCTATATTCTTTACTGTTTTTTCCAAACATTTTTTGGAGTCTTAAAAATGCTTGCAGTAATTAAGTTTACAAATGCTAGGCAGGCTCCACCGACTATGCACAAGCGAGTCCATAGCAAATGTCAGGCACTAAGATCATCTGGATGGGTTGGCTAACCAGGTGAGGTTATCACATTCACAAAACAGACTCTAGATCCCCAGTGCGCTGTGGTCTGATCTGGGGCTTCCTAGCAGTTGAGATCATGTGGATTCTTTCCACCAGGGTGGGAGCGGCGGTAGGTATGTGGAAGGGGTTTGAAGGTGGGAGTGGGGGCGGGCGTGTGGGAGGGGTTTGGAGGTGAGAGCATGGGGTGGGCCTGTGGGAGGGGTTTGGAGGTGGGAACCCGAGTGGGAATGGGGGAGGGGATAGAGCGGAGGGACGCGGCCAGGCTGGAAGTGGGGGTGCAGGAGGGGGCGGGAACAGGGAGGGTTGGGGAGGGGGCGGGACGGAGGCGGGGCGGGGCGCTCTATAGGGGCGTGCACACTCCTCAGGGACACGCGCTCTGGGGCACAGCAACTCGCTCCAAGTTCCCTCCCTCGCGCTCCGCGAAGCCCGCCTGAGCCCTCCCACTCGGTGCAGACCGAACCATCGCGGCCGCCGCCAGCCGGGCCCTCCACGGCCTTGAGTCCCCAGCCCCCTTGGCTAACCGGGTCAGCTCTCTATCCGTGGCCCCGCCGAGGCGGCGCGAGGACTAGGCGCCCCCTGCGGCCCGCGCTCGGCCCTCCGGCGGCGCCGGCGGCCCGGACCCCCTTCCTGGCTGGCCCGACCTTCCTCCCTGCAGTCCCCGGAGCTTGGAGCCCGGCTGGGGCCGCACCGCCCGGGGCCAGGGAGCGCGGCCGAGGTAAGTCTGGGCCGGGAGCCGGGCCGGGGCGGGGGTCGGGTGGGTGGCCGCGCGGCACCCCGACTGCGAACAATGCCCGAGCTGCGCGCGGCTGGAGCGGAGCCGGATCCGCCTCTAAGCCTCCGCGCCCGGCCTGGGTGTCCATCCAGCAGGGCCGGGGAGCCGCACTGGCCCGGACGCACCCCCCGGCTCGCTGGGTGGGCGGCGAGAGGAGGCGCTCGCTGCGCGTCGGGGCTGTGCGGGGAGGCCGGGCAGGGGCGCTGCGGAGCCGGGCGGGCTTGCGGGGCGCGAGCGGCGGGCTGCGAAAGCGCGCCTGCCGCTTGCTGCTGAAACACTGGGTAGGCGAAGGCTGTGGGGACGGCTCCTTGCGTCGTTCCCAATCTCGGGGGCTAAATACCTAGGGGCTATCAGTATGTCCTAATCGCCGTCTGGGAATTCTTGCAAAAGATGCAGATTCAGAGGCTCTGAAAGTTTGTTTTTGGTTATCCCCTCCAGCTGCACTCATGGTCTCGATCGTCTCCGCTTTCTTTGAAAGCACACAGATTTGAAGTAGAATGAAATTATCCTTGGCTCATTCGTGCCCCCGTCACCCAGCGGAGCTCATAACTTGGCAGCAAAGCTCGTGCAGGCTGTGGGAAGCCGCCGGTGCCTGCTGCCCAGCCTAGTGCCCTCTGATTGTTGTTGGAGGAGGAGCTGCGTGGTGGAAATGGCAGTGACAGTTCTCCCTCCGCGCAGAATGGTGGGGAGGGTAGCAGAGATAACTTTGCTGTGTGCTTCAGTTACTCGGCAAAGTGGAAAGAAAACACCTGGTGCCGGCTTTTTAACCCTTTCAAGTTGTTATTCAGATTCACTTAGCCACAAAAATGAACGGGCTGTCTTTGCTGCCTAAGATACGGGCAAACTCTGGGTTTTTCCTCACGGCTATATCCTGTGCAAAATCTGGCACACATCTGTGACAACATTGCGTGGCTGGCATTGTAAGGACTGCAAACTGGTTTGTTTTTGAGAAGGGGAATGTGATAGTAGAATACGCATCTTTGCAGTATAAATAATGACTTTCATTGTCCTCATATCCCCTGCTGGTATGGAAGTCCCATATATAGCCTCTTCTCCCCAATTTACACGTGGAGTCTTTCCATGGAAAATACCTGTACTAACCTGTGCCTGTTTTGTGACATCACAGCCCCTGGTCATTCAGATGAGCTAATGATTAAGCATAGTTATTTTATGTAAGGGTGAGGTCATGATAAGCCAGACTTCTTTGTCCGTAACATCCCATTGATTTATCCCATGGTATTTATGTTGCGACTATAGATCTTATAACAGTAGAGTCACTAATTGAACAGGGAGGTGACCATGCTTTGTCAGCCTGATAATCTGTAAAGTGCTTGGAGCAGCGAGGCGCTGCTCCAAGCACTTGCTAGGTAAGTGTCACCTAGTTTTATTTTTAATTTTTATTATCAGTCCATGTGTTTTTTTGTTTGGAAAACAGTTGTTTTGTTTTTCAGATCGCAGCACTTTTAAGTCATTGTCTATTTTTGACTCTAGTTTAATTTTAGATCAGAATTGAGGTTGGGTTGTTGTTTTGCTTATGACTGACAATCCATTCTGTGTGTCATTCTTACGCACAGTATACAGCAGATCTGTAAGGGCAAGAACACAGTCCTGAGCTGTCACATCCAGGTACTTTTCATAATAAGGAGACTTAATTACCCTTAAGGGCCTAAATGTCTAAGGAGGAGTCTAGACATCGGGGAAACGTGGCATCTGGACCCCATTCTGAACACCCTCATTCTCCAGGTTGACATTAATACTTCCAGTTACTACTTGAAATTCTACCGTGGTGGCACAACAGTGGGGTAACTCCCACTTGGTCAAAAGGTAATAAAATATAAATATGCGCATTGTATATACATCAACCAGATCTTATCATTCTTATTTGTGCTTCCAAATCTTTCGAGCAGCCTAGTTAGTTAACATAGGAAAAATGAAAACTACGTACTTGCCATGTGTCCATAACCAAATGATTGTGTTTGCCACCTAGATATTTTAAAAGATTGTCAGGGGTTTACTTTCATTTTGGGGTCCTCCCCCACGCCCTTTTAACTTTGAAATGATATCTCTCTCATTCTTCAACAGTTTACTTAGCTAATCAAAGACAGGGCTAACTCTTGGGGCCCAACAGTACCAAAGCTGCTGTAGGCACAGTCTGACAGTAGGTGGTGCTATGGGTAATGCTGGTGGGCAAGGTGCATTTGTGGTCAGGTAGAATTGGAGGGGTTAATTAGTAATCCTATTGCTTGCCCTCTCCCCCAAAATATGCTGTCACTACCCAGGTACCATCTAACAATCTTTTTAGGAATAAACTTTTTAAAAAGTCTCTCCTTTGTATTTCCACCTTTTTTGGACTATTTACTCGGCCAGATTTTTCTTCCTGAAAACCATAGTATTACAGGTGTTAAGACAAACAATGCTTTGTAAAAGTCTTATTTAATTAACTGTACTCTTTACTCTTATTTTTTAATGATAGGTTAAGGTTGTCCATTCTGAGCCTAGAGGATCTCCAACTAACCTGGACTTTTTTTCAGTACTTAACTTGGAAGAGAGAGAAACAAATGATAAGAAACTCAGTTGCATCATGGCTTTAAGAAACCAGCTTCTCGTTTACTCTGATTTTTACCATTTTTCTGGGTCCCAGTATGATGCAATGAGCATTGATATTCAGGATGAAGACTGAAACTCTGCAAAGCCATGACTCATCCAAGAAAAATATATTCATTCTATTTAGTAGAGCACGGAGGGTAGGGAGTGAATAAGAAGGCTCAGAACCAGGGCTCTCTGGACTGTAATCCGAGTTAGCTCTGTGGGCTGGCTGGGAGACTGGCCTGGTTCTGGGCAGTTGACAGTGGATTCTCTTTATTCCAACACAGGATAGTTGTTGTTATCTTCTTTCTTCGGGTGACATGAAGTGACTGGCTGAGTCACATAGCTACTAAGTAGCAAAGCTGCGATTTTAACCCCAGGACAGTGTGCCTGTGGAACCCATGGATCTTTCCACCACACCATGTGGACTAATGTCTGTTTTGCACAGTCAGGAGGTGCTCACTGCATTCTTTTGGGGTTTGATACCGACAAGTCTCTTCGTCATAACTCAGTGACGTGCTTTGAATTTCCTGGGTAGTGTTAGGAGTCCAAAACCGGAGAGAGAAAGCTCATTTTGATGTTTAGAGGTAAACCCCTGAGATTTCACAATACTTACTGAAGAGTGCTTATTTTGGAAGGACTTAGGAGAAGGCTGGCAGGTTTAACTTCTTTGAGCTATGTGAAGGCCAGTGCAAATGGTTTAGAAGATGAAGTCGTGCTGGGTCTGTTTTTGGCTTTCTTGCTCAGGTGATCTGGTGAGAGTCCTAGCCTCCCCTGTACCCACTAACTTTCCTCCCCTTGGGTTAAAGGAGCTTTATTCATTTCCATCACTTAACTACATCAAATAATTAAATACATTACAATGATTAATGAAACACCAGATCAAACTCCTTTTGATGTATTCTTTTTTTTTTTTTTTTTTTTTTTTTTTTAATTTTACACTTTAGCCAGAGCTTGGTTTAAATTTTAGTGGTCATTTTTGTATTGGAAACATTCTAGAAGTACAAAATAGTAGTATTGGGGAATTGTTCAGAAGAGAACACAAATTTTACCCAAAATGTTTACCCAAGAAACTAAAGGTAGCATTGATTCTGAAGTTTGAAAGGATAAGTTAACAGGATCATTCACATGCGAGGTTTTGGAGAAAGTGGTAAGAAGTACCGTTTCTCATTGCTTTTGGTTGTCATCACCCACACAGTGAACTACAGATAATGAAGGTATGAGCAAGGCTTCAAAATGTTTGCAGAATACATTTTCCTCCTGTTTTTAAGCCTGGGTTTGTTTTTTAGATGATCTCTTGTGGTACAAGGTTAATGACCTTAAATCATGTATATCCCTATTATGACACGTTAGGTTTCCTCCTTCTTGTGAAAGGGGACTGCATGTCATGTTTATGTTTTTAACATTTCGAGTCTCATAAGGAGAGTCACATAAGAACACAGCATTCAAAGACATAAGGCTGGTTTTTTGTTTTTCTTTTTTTTTTTTGAAACTTTAGTAGTTAGTAGATGAAGCAATTTACTTCCTCTTTCCAGTATGTTTGGTGACAAAAATAGTGAAAATGTGGATGATTAAACAATTTTAAACTGGAACTAGCACAAAATCTGGGATTTTAAAATGGTAAACACTTCACAGGGAAGTTCAAAGGTGAATAGTAAGCAAAAGGAAACAATATGTTATTTGGCAGACAGGTTTCTAGAATTATAAGAATTCCGTGGTATGTTTTATGCGTCCGAGCAAGATCAATGGGTTTTGAAATTGTCCAGCTCCAGATAAAGCTTTTAAAGATAAATTTAGAAGCATATGGGAAATTTTTTAATGGTTTTGTTGTAAGGCAGAGCATTTGCTCCTCAAAAGCTCCACTGGAAGTTTGTTTCTTTTCTTTTCTTTTTTTTTTTTTTTTTTGGTCTTTTTCAGGAGGAATCACAGATAGGCTTCAAAATAATCATTGCCAGCAATTTTTTTTTTTTTTTTGGGGGGGTATCATTGTCTGGAACTTAATGAAAAGAAAGAAAGTATGAGAAAGAATATCGTTTGGTAATTTCTTCTATTATGATTATTATGTTTAATGGATATTTTTAGAGGATTCACTGTGCACCTAGGTACTAGGGATAAGTAGTGCCCAGGAAAGACTAGGTTCTTGCCCCCTTGAGGTTTTATGGTATCAAGTGGAGGAAAAAGTTAATAAAATAAATAAATGAAAATCTAGTTGTTGTTTTTTTTTAAGATTTATTTATTTATTTTAAAGAGGGAGAATACTTGTGTGCATGTAGATACACTCAAGGTGCGGGGCAGAGGGAGAGGGAGAGAGAGAATCCTCAATGCATACTCCCTCCTGAGCACAGAGCCCAACATGG